CCAGTGGGCACCGAGTGGGCGTGGCAAAAACTAGCCAACCGAGTCAGAGCCAACTGAGCGTAACAGTTAGATTTCCGCCACTAGAGTAGTAGGAACAAAGAACTTGAAGGAATTGGACCGTTGTCTCTGTTCATACTATCTTTACATTTATTAATTCTGATGCTTTCATATGCATCTAATTGCCTGTAATTTGAGACTTGTTTAATTAATTTTAAATTATTAAGATCTATACAATGTTCTTTATCAACAATATGTTCGGCAACGCAAGATTTATCCGGTCTACCATATCTTATCTGAGCTAAATGTTCTTTAAATCTAGTTAATATTGATCTTCTAGTTTGCCCAACATATTTCTGATTACAATCTTTACAAGAAATTTCATAAATACCCGACCTTTCCAGTGGAGATGTTTTATCCTTTGGATTACCTAATAATTGTTGTAATTTATTATTAGCACTATACACAAGTTTATAATTGACATTCTTAAAAATTCCTTTAGACCTTAACTCTCTATCAAACGGTATCGAAAAATATTTAGACGTATCTTCCTCCACTTGAAAAGTCGAATTTTCAGAAATCATTAACCTATACCTACGTTTTCTAATTAATTTATCAACTAGTGAAGGAGAATATCCATTACACTCAGCTACATTCCTAATGTAATCTCTTTCTATTTCATATCTTTCGTTGGAAAGTGGGAAACTAAGTAATCTATGAACTAAGAAATTTAAACTAGCCATTTTATGTTCAACACTATGATGTGATTCATTAGGAATATATCTGCGTGTGGTCGTATTTTTCCTATAGATATCAAATTCCAGGCAATTATTAGCATTTCTAATAACTAATACATCTAGAAATGGTAATCTGTCGTTGTTCTCAATTTCATGAGTAAATTTAATGGAAGGAAAACGATTATTTAACTTAGAAATAAAATTATCTATGGTGTCTGAATGTGTGTCAAAAACAGCAAAAATATCATCCACATACCTAAACCAAACTCTTGGAAAATACTCAAACTGATTCTTAGCCTCCACTTCAAACCTGCTCATGAATAAATTAGCCAAAAATGGAGACAATGGATTACCCATTGCTGTACCTTCCCGCTGTTCACAAAATTGTTATTAAATTGAAAACAATTTTGTTTCATACATAACGATGTAAGCTCAATATATTCAGTCACAGTTTTGTTGTCGAGACCATTTGCGTTCAGTAATTCCTTCAAGTAGCCTAAAGTATGTGGAATTGGAACACTTGGGAACAACGAAGGTACATCAAAGGAGACCAAAATTTCACCTTCATGTTATATCTTTAATTTTGTTAATGAATTCAATATTATTTTTAACTGCGAAAGAAGGTTCCTGATCAGGTAAATTTTCGAACTCCCTTGATAACCATTTTGCCAAGTTATAAGTCGGAGAACCTACAGCCGATACAATTGGGCGCATAGACTTGTCCGGTTTATGAATTTTTGGCAAAGCATACAATTTTGGTAATGAGGGATTGGATACTTGCAATTTCCTCTTTAAAGAAAGATCAATAAGGGTGTTACATTCTTTTAGAGTTTTCTTAACGTCTGCTACCATCTTAGACAAAGGATTCTTTTTCAAATTTATGTAGGGGCCATTATCGATTAAGTTGTTAACCTTATCATAATAGTCTTTTTTATCTAATATAACAACCTTATTTCCTTTATCAGCTTTTAGGTAGAAACAATCTTTGTTACGCAAACTCTTGACAATATTGTGATCCTTGTTAGATTTTAATGATTTACTTGAAACGATATTTTTTGATAACTGATTTCTACAAGCCTCTCTTGCAAATACTTTAGAAGCCTCGGGCAAGTGCTGAATAGCAGTTTCAACACCAACGACGATTTCCTCCAAAGCGCTACCAGAGTTGGGCAATGCAAACTTTAAACCTTTGTTTAATAAACTGAGCTCTTGTTTGCTCTTGTTAAAGCACGCAAAACTTAGGAACTCCAAATCTCATTCAGATCGGAATAACGGTTCTTAAAATACCTTAAAAAATGTGTTTATTTTTTTAAAGTTTGATGCCCTCTAGCGGCCAAACGAAGCACTTTTGTATAGAGGTAAATTATGTTCAATAAACTTATTTTGATTCCGAAAAAAATACGTAGTAGTTTTATGACCATGGAATATTGAGACACCCTGTATATCGTTACCTTATACGCAAAAATTGTTTTCACAGGAAAATCAAAAACTTTTTCAAGTGTCATATACATTTCCACTAATTCTGAAAAAAATTTGTCCACAGATAGCGCAATAATCAAAATAATTCCAAATTTGTCTTACTATGCAATACAATAGACGTATGAGGTCATTATTGAAATAGGCTATAAATATTAATTTTGTCAAAAATAATTGAACTTAAGCCAATAGCCAAGAATATTTGGATTTTCGAGACATATTAATATTTTATTATCTAATCCAGTTTAAACCTTATTTAACTTTTCTCTGCTGTCCTAGTAATTTTTAGCAAATTCATTTTAGCAACATTTTAAACAACAATTTAGACTTTTTAGACTTTTGAAGCAACAATTTAGACTTGGCTTTTAGTTCTCAGACTTGGCTTTTAGTTCGTCCCCAATTCAATTTCTCCGCCAACCGCAGAGTTCGCGTCAAATTCGTCTATCTTTTTACAAAGGGGAGCTTGAAAAATATTGCATTTAGATCGAGACTATTTAAATTTACCTAATGCTATTCTTCCTTTTTTTTTGCTGTCAGTCAGTCATATTTATTAGTTATTAATAAAAGAATAGTGGGTAAAACTATACAGGGTGAGTCTTAAATAAGTGCAAATATTTTCAGGGGTGGTATATTTCGACCCCAGGAACACGTCCATGAGTTTTTTTGCAAAAAAAGATGTTAAAAATCGAGCATTTTCTTTTAAATTTTCCTGTATATTTTAGAAAACTTTTTAGAACTTCTTGTTCACCGCAAATTTTCCCACGGTATAGTTTCTTAATCTCTGATATTACGGCACTAAAAGAGATGCAAATACCGAAAAATTGAGGTGGTCCAAATTTTTTTAAAAATAAATCTCTTTTTTTAATTTCCATACTTTAATATCTCGATTGGACTTATTTGAAAGTCGATAAAGAGAATATATATTATGTTTGTTTTATTGAGATCTACCAACCCTGAAAATATTTGCACTTATATACTCACCTTGTATAATAAAAATTTTCAAACCGAACAAACAACAGATGATTATTAAAATTATTAGTGTCCCAGAGAAAGACATTTTACAATAGTTGTTTTACAAATTGGTGTAAATTATACTGATGCAAATTGATTAGTTAGTTATGGAGTCAGTAAGGATCTTACGTCACTTTAGTTAGAAGATTAACAATTTAATTTTTGCTAATTCAATCTTTTTTGAGCTCTGATCGGGACCCCATCTTTCCACCGACCCACCGGGAATTTTCCCGTTTTCCCATATGGCCCATCCACCCCTGTCTACATGATAGCCAGCGCATAATAGTATCATTAAAAAGCGCACAAATTACGCAATATATAAACCAATTTGATTACACTGGTTACCACTAGTCACCAATTCTGACGATTTTCCACATATAAAACGACAAACATCCTGTCAGAAACGAATCCAAACGTCAGAAACGATTTCACTTCTTGAAAATACAGTCGAAACGTCGTGTTTTTTGGCCAGTTCGCCAACGACGACGATGACTAAAAGAGATCAAAAGCAGCCATGGCTGTAACGGAATGCAGCCGGAAGTAGGTCACAAGACGTATGGCACCTTTAAATTCGGTTGATACAATATTCTACATAAGACGTGTGTGGATTTATTAATTTATATTGATCGATTCAATCCGAATTGCTAATTTAAAAATATGCAAGTTAATTTTATAAACTTTGTTTTTAAAGTGTCCAGATTTTGAGTCAACCAATGATCAATGCAGGAGGGACAGAAAGAAAAGAGCAGATTATTTTTGAAGAATAGTACTGGAGCATTATGTAATTTTTACGTAAAGAAGTCTTAATTAGCTTCAGAGGACACTTATTTAGGCTAAACTTAGGGTTAAAAAATAGTTAAGATACATAAAATTAAAAAAATACAAACGAAAACTTTAAAGTATTAATTCTAACGAGGAACTCGCATATTTTTCGGAGGAATGAATCTTTTTTAAAAATAAATTTTTGTAAGATAGATATAAGTATACAGTTCATACCAAATAAACTTTTAGTCACGTGATTAAGCTTGACCGGCACAGCGTTGCCAACATTTACATATTTTCTTTTAATCAAAATATTTTAGGAAATAAAAACAAATTAATTATAAATATATAAACAATAAAACTCACCTTCTTAACAGCACCTAAGGGACATAAAGGGCCATTACTATCGCTTTCCCATTCAAAATATTCTAATATAGTTGCAATAAGTTTTTTACGGCTATTAAGCTATCTTGTACATTTTCCACGAAAAGAGGTTCTAAAAAGAACAATGTTCGATTGCAGGGTCTGCTAGTAAACATTTTTAAGGTTAAAGTATCACTATTTATTTAAACCAAAAACTCGTCATACAAAACGAAAGTGTCAAAACGAGCAACAATGTGAGGAAATAAATAAATAAATGCGGCAACTTGGCAGTTTTTACAGCAGAGCTACCACCTGAATCCCCAGCGGAAATTTAAATTCCAGTTAGTCAGCCCGCCGCCGAATATATTCATGGTTGGCAACAACGAATTTAAAAATCGCGCCCTTGATTACATAACTAAAAGTTTAATTGATATCAGATATAGATCGATAAAGATAATTGTAAGTTAGGGACAAAATTATTATTTTAATTTATTGCAAATATATAGCGATTTCCTGACTTTTGCATAAAATTTTAAAGAAAACAATGTTGATTTAATGTCTACTGAAAAATAAAAAATACCATCAGATAAATAATGTTCCTTTAAACACTAGACATTTCAAGCAAAATATATTAATTATTTTTCTAGCACTCACCACAAAATGGTATGCCCTCGGGTAACCATACCCCGTTTTCGCACACCCTTCTGGAGGGTCCTAGTAATTCGAATCCATTTTCACACGTATAGGTCGCCACAGTTTCTGGACCAAGATTATCGTCCGAAAAATGTACCGACGAATGAGCTGGCGAACCTGGATAGCTACAACTTCGTCCTTCTTGGGCTTGTGTATCTGTAATCCATAAAAAATGCATTTTGTTACCTTGTTTATAAAAACAAGTCTTATACAGGGTGTTTCAAAACAAATGCGAAAAACTTCAGGGGGTGATTCCTTGTTCAAAATAAAGGGTGGTTTGCTCTATAAACGTTGGGTCAAAAGTCAACCATTAGGGAGATATCGCGGTACAAAGATGGCGGAAAAATAATGTTTTTATTTTTTATCTTGAAAACGAAAAGAGATAGCCTAATGAAATTTTACGGAAGCATTACTGTTATGAAAACACACTTTCTGGTAATTTTTTCACTTTTTTAAAATGAGTGGAAGGGGTTGAAATAAACTACCCCTATCATATTTGTTCATGAAATTTAAGGAAAAATCTTATCAAACACATGCAAAAAGAAATAATTTTGATAGTTTAGTTTATTTAGAAACTTTTTTATCTCTTGTGTTTTTTTGATAAAACTCACCGATTTGAAATTAAAAAATAAAATGTAAAGCATTACATGTCAGGACAAAAAACATTTTTAGATAAAGAATCTAGTGGGCAGCTGTAATTTTTTTAGGAAAAAATCTAGGCGGCCGCTGTCACTTTTTAGGATGTTTCTAATATTGTTTTATTTGACATTACCCTACTGCAATACGTTATTATCTAGATTATTATTATAATCATTATTATCACTAGATTCTTAATCTAAAAATATTTTTAGTCCTGACATGTAATGCTTTACATTTTATTTTTTAATTTCAAATCGGTGAGTTTTATAAAAAAAATACAAGAGATAAAAAAGTTTCTAAACAAACTGAACTATCCAAATTAATTTTTTTTGTGTTTGATAAGATTTTTCTTTAAATTTCGTTAACAAGAATGATAGGGGTAGTTTATTTCAACCCCTTCCACTCATTTTAAAAAAGTAAAAAAATTACCAGAAAGTGTGTTTTCATAACAGTAATGCTTCCACAACATTTCATTAGTCTATCTCTTTTCGTTTTGAAGATAAAAAATAAGAACATTATTTTTCCGCCATCTTTGTACCGCGATATCTCCCTAATGGTTGACTTTTGACCCAACGTTTATGAAGCAAACTACCCTTTATTTTGAACAAGGAATCACCCCCTGAAGTTTTTCGCATTTGTTTTGAAACACCCTCTATATATATAAGACGATTTTGAGTGCGACTGTAAAATAGAAATAATTTTGCAATCATCCTTCAGTTCTATGGTGTATTCAGAAAAAATAAAAACTATTGAAGAAGGACCTCCTAAGCATATTTTGAATATTAATACTAAATTCAAAATCGTGTATTCGTCATTTTAGTGAAAATGTTTATAAAATTGAACATGTGGTTGTAAAGCACTCAATAAACTTTTTAAAAGAAAAAAACCTTATTTTGTTAAAAAATAAGAAGGATAGGAAAACAATATAACATACGAACATCTTTCAAAACACAAAATACACTTAGATCCATTTTATCACATACTAAACCAATGAATACAGAACAACAAACAAAAATGTAATATACAAAATACCACGTAAATGCGATAAATTTTACATTGGTGAAACATCTAGACCCTTAAATGTTCGAATTAAAGAACATAGAGATTATTTAAGAAAGGGAGATTTTCACAGATCTAAGATTTGTCAGCATTCATGGAACACAGGGCACAGAATAAATTTTAATAACGCCAAAATTATAATGAAAGAAGCGATAGACTCTAAAAGAAAAATTAAAGGGTTTTTTTAATACAATCTAATAAAAATACATGTAATGCTCATGCATCTATAGATGTTAGTAATGTATGACAATCGCTTCTTTGATTTTAAAGAACATAACATAAATAAACATAACATACGTAAAAATTAAAAATAATCATACAGAAAGTTTGGGGCTCTTTGGTTTTACCTTATTAAATAATTGTTATCAGGTAGTAATTGTTAATTTTGAAGTTTAATTTGATATAATGTCATTTTAACAGAACGTCAACGGTTCTTGTAGACGTATCTGTTTTAAAAAACTAAAGTGTTCTCGAATAGTTGAATTTAAATTTTTAAATAATTTTTTTCTCTGTATTTTTTTGCTTCCGACGACGTTAAGCATTTTTTTATTCGTTAGGCAAATTTCTACCTATCTGTAAACCTAACCTCTGACAAGTAGTTTCCGTTTGGATCAACGCAGAAGTGTTTACAAAAAATAACTATTTTATTTTGTAGATTTTCTTGCAGTGGCGAAATACCCATATAAGATTTTTTTTATTGTGTTGGTAAAATGTTAATTGTAGTAACTTATATTGCATCCCCTTGTATTGACGCCACTCTACGCTGCTGCCTACAAATCACACAAAAATGGAACACCCTGTACAAACCTTAGTCACAGACCTTATATAGTTACTTTCTATATAAAAACAGACGTATATTACGTGGAAGATAATATTATTCACCTGGTACTAAGCTCATGGGAACATCGCAAGCACGTTAGTAGGTTACTGGCACGTTAAATACAATACCACAGGCTCGTGGTTGGGTACTATCGGAGATTTAATTTCGCCTAGACATCGGAGAAAATAGGAAAAGAAAAACCACAGGTGCGTAAAGTGTACCACAACAAAGCGTAGTATTGCTCACAAAATCGTGCCCAGGACATTTAAATATACAGGATGGTGTAGTATACAACTAGTTCCGGAGATACTCGAGAGAATTGTCTCTAGTTTTTAGAGTACACACAACCAAACTTATATAGAATCACTCTTTATTTCTGACACTATTCGGTTTTTATATGATTCAAAATAAAAAATATATAAATTGTAAAATTAGTAATTTTTTAATGGCCATAATGCGTTCTTTCAAAATCATCGAACAACTAAATCATTTCCATAGATCCAGTGACGTACCGTGACTTTGAATTTTGAGACCATAAACTGACAAATAATTTGTCAAAAAAATCATATTACAGCTATATGTTTTATTTTGCATAAAAATGTTAACTAATAAGTTAGAGTAATTATATTTCTTCCCTAACTAAGTGGTTTTATCGCTAAATTTATCTAAAGCTAAGTACAACACAAATTTTAAATACGTGGACTATTATAACAACAAATACATCGTAAAAGTCTATTTTGGTAGCATTCTGAACGAGAATTCAAGTTAAACTTTTTAGAAAATAATTTAAAGGAAAAATGAACCTGCTCGCAGATGCTTGTTCCGAGTAAAATCCTAGAGCTCTTTAATTTGCTTTTATAAACTCACACATGATGCAGAATTGCATGAATCTTTGGAGTTATCTTAATACCTAAATTGAGTATTTCCAATCTAAATTGTTCGATGTCATGTTCAAAATGTTTGTTTAGTGCTTGACCGAAACAACTCGAAACTACTTAATTCAATGCAGAAAACACTGCAATATATTTATTCCTAAAAAGAAAGATGGTTAGGTTTTTGCTTCTAAAAACTTTGAATAGGGTTCTTTACCGGGCGATATCGTCTTCAAAATATCCACTTTCTTTAAAAGTTGTCTGGCGTTATTTCCGTTACATTTTCCATAATGATCTAGTTTCAATCCCGCTTTTTTTGTCCATTCTGTTGCAACATTAGTATTCTCCAATTCAAGACAATCAAATAGTTTTTGAACCACACCTAACAAAAGGTGAAGCTCAGGAGGGGGAATATACTTTAAGACAGGTGTTTCTTCGTCGCCAATGATTAAAGGTATGTTTATACAGTTTTCTAAAAAATAATTGCCCTTTTCTATATGGTGCATTGAACAACAGTTTAAAAAATACAAAAAAAATATTTCAAACAAAAACGCTTACTAAAATCTTTGGCTTTTGTTATATTTCCTCCAGATTGTTGCCATAAATTTGTATTTTCTGTAATACTTTTTATAGTTCTGAATGATCTTTAATTTCCAATTCCTTTACATTTACATCACACCATGGGCAAGTGTGAGTGGATGAATTTGACTGAAGACCAAGGAGAATTATAATAAGCTTAAAGTCAGCAGCAAAACTATAGAAACAAATTCCACATATGGACTGCAGATCTAACGTCTCAAAGAGGCTTTTAATGTTAGCATAAGATTCAGACAACTTTGGTCCTAAGCCAATTATGAATAGTTTATTAATTCCAGCACTTTTATATTTCTTGAAATATTCGGGATCATTTTCAGGGAGCACATTCAGACAAACTTTAGGTGATCCACCACCACTATCAATGCCAATTTTTAGATGAAAATTTTCAGATAATTCTCTAATTTCCAAAATATATGATAGAAGACCAGATAAATCTGAGCAGTATACAAAAATTATTATTAACTGAATTAACATTTTTCCTTTAAATTATTTTCTAAAATGTTTAACTTGAATTCTAGTTCAGAATGCTACTAAAATAGACCTTTAGGATGTATTTGTTGTTATAATAGTCCACGTATTTAAGATTTGTGTTGTACTTAGCTTTAGTTAAATTTAGCGATAAAACCACTTAGTTAGGGAAGAATTATAATTATTCTAACTTATTAGTTAACATTTTTATGCAAAATAAAACATATAGCTGTAATATGATTTTTTTGACAAATTATTGTTTCAGTTTTTGGTCTCAAAATTCAAAGTCACGGTACGTCACTGGATCTATGGAAATGATTTAGTTGTTCGATGATTTTGAAAGAACGCATTATGGCCATTAAAAAATTACTAATTTTACAATTTATTAATTTTTAATTTTGAATCATATAAAAACCGAACAGTGCTGACTAAATTCCTTGCAAGGATAAAAATTGGTATACAACTTTAAGATAAGTCTTTTTGTTGTAAATAAACATGATAATAAAGAAAAAACGACTGCTGCGATTTATTTTCTTTTGAATTTTGTGTTTAGTAGTAAAATCACGATTGTCCGGTAATTTCCATTCAATCCAATAAAATTTTAAAAATGCCTTATGTTGGATTATGAGATGTATAGAGGGGAAGAATTATTGCTCTCATCGAACAAGCAATGCTCCAAAGAGACCTAGCAGAGATAGTAGGCGTTACCCAGTATGTTGCATCGAAAATATATGCAAGGTACTTGGAATTAGGAACACACAAGGCTAGGCCCAGACAAAGTCGTCGAAGAGTCGCAACTGAACAACAAGACCGCCTTGTGTGCCAAATTGCCAGAATAAATCCCAATGTTTCTCATCCAGAGCTACAAAGACAACTTCTGGCAGCCACAAGTGTGAACGTTTCAGTTGAAACCATAAGAAATAGGCTTCGTGCCCGAGGGTTTTACGAAGGTTTTAGGGTAGGAGAGAGTTACGGATCCCACAGTTACCTCAGCAAAATAAAATTAACCGACTACATTGATGCCTTCAACATCAAAACTGGACAACTGAGAATTGGCAAAATGTTCTTTTTTCGGATCAGACCAGAATTGGCTTAAGATCAGATAGCCATCGAATTCGGGTTCTCAGAGCTCCAGGAAGACGAGCGAGACTTCAGGCTGCCAAATCTATACCAAGATATAAAAGAGGAACTGTACTGTTCTGAGGAGGTATTATACCGGGAGCAAAAACTCCATTATTACTACTTCAACAACCTTTAACGGGTCGGAGATATGTTTGTTTGATGCTAGATCCAATGGTTAGTCTTTGGAGAGCTGCAATTGGGGATCATTTTAACTTCATGCGCGATAGTGCACCTCCCCATACCAGCAGAGTGATTAAAGAATGTCTTGAAACGGAAGGTGTCATAGTTTTGAACTGGCCTGCCTATTCACCTGACCTAAACCCTATCGAACACTTGTGGGACTAGTTTAAAAGAAAGGTTAGAGCTCGTCGAATCAATCCAGGAAATCTCGCACAGTCTATTGATGCAGCACTAGCAGAATGGAAAAACATACCCCAAGACAACTTTGATAATTTAATAAGAAGCATGCCAGCGCGGATAGAAGCTTGCATAAGGGCTAGAGGTGACAACAAGGAATATTAAAATTATCAATTTTCTTTTTGTTTGTGCTTTTTGGCCATTAAAATTTAAATCTTAATTTTGTTTCAGAAACCAAAAAAATACCATTTTCTTTATTTTGGGAACTGATTAATTTTTTTTATTGCTATATGGATTATTTTTCATTAAAAGTCATTAGTAAGGACTGAGTTTTATTCATAAATACAACATTTTCATTCATCTCAAAAATTATGAAAAATAATAGATGATTCCATATAAGTTTGGTTGTGTGTATTTCAAAATTTTTAACGGTTTCGCGGACGGCTCTTTTAACGGTAAAATACGAAAGAAAAAACATTGAGTGGCTTTGAAAAAAATTCACTGTAGAAAATGCCATATGAAATATAAAACCACAAATATCTGCGAAACCGTTAAAAATTTTAAAATACTCTAAATACAAAAAATGTTCATTTTTTAATTCTTCATCTATTGAAAAAATAATATAGAGTGTTCCATTTAAAAAAAAAACTCTGAAACTATCGAAATATATTTACTCATATCTTAGGATTGTGTAAAGTGATCTGAAGGGAAGCCAAAAATGCAATAATATACAGGGTGTTCCACTCACACTTCTTTGAGCCACCCTATAGAAGTTAAAATATTTTCTTAAAATACATCCTAGTACATACTTTAGGCTTGTACTTAAACAAAATTCCCCAGTTTTTTATTCTAGTTGCTACAGAATTTTGAATTTAGAATGAGTGGGAGGGGGGTTAATCACTTCGACCTTACAGATCCATTGTGTCCCCCTTTCTTGAATCATAACTCATCATACAGTCCCAGGGCTTTGACAAAATCCAGTATCTGGGACGGTTTTATAGAGGGTAGTTCTCCATCTCCAATATCAGTCGTACAAAAATTCATGGCACGAATGGTTGTCGTCTCGGCGCACTCAGTGATGAGGTGTACTGGTGTTTCCCCATCTTCCCCACAGAATCTGCATTCGCCGTTTCTTCTTAGTTTCAATCTATTGAGGTGTTTATTGAGGAGACAGTGTCCTGTTAAAAACCCCGTGACAATCCGAAGATTGTTCTTACTCAGACCCAGGAAGATCTGTGATTTTTCTTGATCATAAGCCCTCAGAAACTTCTTCGAGTGTCTTAGACCATTGCAAGATTTCCATTCCAGGTTGCGGATGGAATCTTCCAAGTTCTTGAGTTCCGCCTTGAGTTGGTTACCACTTGGAAAGCAGAACGGTTCTGGTCCAGTTAGTGGAGTGTTCGCTCCTTTCCTAGCTAGATTATTTGCTTTTTCATTGCCTTCTATCCCTTGGTGAGCAGGCACCCAGTGTAGGAGCAGTTTACCTAATTTATTCAGCTTCTCTATGCATTCTTTGACCAATTTCGAATTGATTGATACTGAGTTGATCGCCTTTAACGCTGCTTGACTATCAGACAAGATGGCTATTTCTTGTTTCCGATAGTTCCTATCTAAGATAAGTTGTACGCATCTCTCGATAGCGTAGATTTCTGCCTGTAGGATACTAGGGTAAGTGCCCATTGGTTCGGAGTAATTAGCTCTCGGCCCAAACACTCCGATCCCTGTTCCCGTATTGGTTTTGGAAGCATCAGTATACCAAGTTATGGTATGGTCTTTTAACTGCTGTTGCTACAGATGCCCGACGCACTATTGCCGGACCCTGTATATGTGACATAAATATCTAGGTAAGTCATTAGTCCTTATTAACATTTTCACCAGTTTTACACAACTAATAATTTGTTCACCACCTCTCCATAATGCTAGAAACACACTTTATATTACTAAGTACCAATTTAAACTTATAATAACAAGAAGAATCGCAAGTAACGTATTCAAGTGTTCATGTTCTCTTCGTATAGAATTATTGCAGATCGCTGATTATTATGCGAAAACACTCCAATCAACTTGGATAACGGTACTAAAAAGAAATAGCGTAGCCATATTAACGGAAAATTAACGTAAACCCCATTTTGCGTTTCTCAATCTATCGATAATCGAGTACGTACATATGTTTAATATAAATTTTAGTGTTATTTTAAACATTGTTAACTAACAGGTAGTTACCCATATTTTTATGTTTACAGTTTACTAATTTTCTTTGATTTTTTTTAGTATAATTGACACCATTTTCTTAATTAGGTATTTTTAAAAACACTAAAATATTTAAATAATTAACTGTATTTAATATAACTAATCATTTTTAATTATATAAAGGAAAAGAAAAATAAAGTAATTTATTTTCAAAAATTGGACTGGACCAACAAAAATGAATAGTTAATCAAAAACGGTCAATAAAAATAGATGGGGAATATCTTAACCATCTAAGATTAGCTGATAACATAGTCCTAATTGCCAATAGTCGTGAAGAACTGCAAGCACAAATTAATGTCTGTATTAACTAAATACATAGAAAATTGATCTTCGTCGAAGAGTTTATAATCTTGTTGGGCGAATGGCGAAACGAGATATTGTCGTCATTTATCGGGATCAAAACATTAGCAAATCGACAATTTATCGCACAATCAAAGAATGTGAAGAAGGATGCAATCAAGGGGAATTTCAATCAAAGCGTCAGGGAAATTCTTAGGCAAGTCGAAAATAACGGTCCCTTGTCCACTGTTTGAAGAAGGAAGCATCATGTGGATGACGAAATAATATTTTGGCCGGATCTCGCTCCATGCCATTACGCGAGAATCACTGGTATGAAGCGAACAACATCAACTTTGTACCGAAAGTAGACATTCCCCCTCAGGCTCGCCCAATCGAAGAGTTCGGAAAGTCTACAATAACGGGTGGGAAGCACAAAACGAAGAACAATTGCGACGCCGTATATTCAGAAAAATTAGAGACATCGACGCCGAAGTTGTCCAAAGGATGATGCAACGCAGTCAGGGGAATTCTTAGGCAAATCGAAAATAACAGTCCCTTGTCCACTG